ACCTTGGTAGGTATTAATACAGGCAAGTGATCTTATCGCCGAACCAAATGACCCCCAGTATCACCTATGCCTTAACCAATTGGTAACAATTTCTATTACATTGACGACTTAATAAGGCAGCATCAACGACATTCAACAATTCAGAAGGGATTCATGCACATAGCATACGTAATGTTATTTTTAGTAGTAATTATTCGAACGTGATGGCAGGGTAATGCAAGAAGGAACCAATCGACGAACAAGCGTATTTCCGTCTGACCGTTACCACGGTAACCCCTATCTTCTCATCATGCAGTTGAGCTATTAACGATTCCTTCGCAACATTCACTTTGCCGTCGATTCTAAAAAAACAAAAAAAAATTTGTCGAAAGCTATACGCCATCCTTTCTCGGGAGTGAAAACTCGGGTACAGCAATTGCTCGAGATTGCAGATACATTTGCTTTTTGCGTGGGTGTAGTCAGAATAGCGGATCAGCGGCATCGCGCCAAAACAGCATTTCTATCTATTGACTCGACATATCAATTTGGTGTGAAATGGAAAAGACTATGACTGCTTACAGGCAGACCCACGATCACATATATTTATCCAGGTTCCTTGTAGGGTGAGGTAGTGTAGACCGCAGCGAACAACCCTGTACAAGTTTCACGTCAAAAAGTGGCGGGATAGGGGCGTTAAGGCACAAGGTTGCCCGAATGACTCCACCCACGTTGATAGATGTCTTGTCTTCTGTCTTCCTCGTTTACATGTTCTCTCGCTACTCCCTCTGCCCTCTCATCTGATACCCACAACGAGTCCTTGCCTCATGCATGGTACGAGTAAGGCCTTTTTCGGAGTGTTTCGACGGTTTCCTCTTCGCTTTTCTTCACGGTCAAGTCAACTAGCACATATACAGTCCTCATCATTACGGACTGTCGGGGCGGCACAGCCGCGCTGCAATGTGACGCGACAGCGGCTCGGTGACGGCGAATCAGCTGATTTCCATGGAATTCGGCTGCGAATTCCCACTTTTTCAACTCTTCAAGCTTCGAAAGTGGAAGGTGAGTTATTTTGAGCAATTTTAAATTGTACTGACTCTGAATGAATCTGAAAGAATGCAAGCCATTTGAATAAATGCCTGAAATAAGGCAAAATACAAGGAAAAGAGCATATAATCGACATAAAAATAAAGGAAATCAGAGCCAGTACAATTCAAAATTGTTCAGAATAACTCACTCAAGACTTTTATTATAAAGGTAACCGGTTCACACAGATGGTACTTGAATAAGTCAAATTACAACTATCCAAGAGCACATGTGGTGTTCCTCCACGAGATGATCAAAGCAAAACAGCTCCTCTCAGTGAGCACAACGAACGAGGAAACACTTTCTGCAACTAGTGTAGTCACAGTGTTTCATCATTTAGAAAAGGAAGCAGTATTGAATAGGGTTCAAATTCGATCAATTCCCCAACACTTCTGATAGTGGACTCGTGGAGACTTCAAAGATCACGAGCGTATCCAATTGGCTTTGCCACCTGAAAAGTATTTGAAAGACCTCAGTATACCCGCAGG